CAAGGATGGAGGATATGATTGTCCCTTTAGAATCAGCCCAACTTAGTGTGGAGAGACTCCTCCTGGGGAGATAGGTGATGAACTTTTTTTTTTAATTTTGATTACATTAACTACCAAAATGATCTATTAAAGTTTGGTGAGGTTGTGATTTATATAGGTGGAGGGAGCACACACCTTGATGGAATGGATTCTAGATCTTTTCAAGTCTTCTGGCAAATAGGAAGCTTGGAGAGCCAGACTGTGGGGCTAATGAGGGGTTGTCTCCAGCAAGCCCTTGGAACCCTTAGCCAGAGAGGCTGTCAGACTTAGACCGGAGCTGCAACTAAATAGGGAGAGAGGCCCCTAAAAGGCTTTTGGCTCATGGAATCAAGGAGAAGAGATTTGGGGCTGCTTTCTGCTGCCTCTTGCGCTGGGGCCTGAACATTCACAGCAATAAAAAAAGATGGAGGGAAAATCAGCCTAAAGCTTTTCTGCCACTGCCCACAGCACATTGTGAACTTTTCCTGATCTCCATCAAATCTCCTTTCTGCCAACGCGGAGCTGCGACTCAAGCTTCACCTGCTTTACAGGTCACTTGGAGAAGCCCAGGGCCAAGTTTCACCCTTGATGTTGGCACTTGCCCTCCAAGTAAAGGTCTGAGATTACCGAGTGTGTCAGTCATTGAACAAATACTGGAATGGCATAGAGCCTGACCAGCAGCCGCCTTCTGGCTTACTTTGTGTAAAGGGCACTCAAAATGACCCCATAACATTTTGAAAATCCCACAGGAAAGTCTTAAGATATTTAGTGGAAACCTGGTGCAGAGGCAAGCCCTGATGAGAGGATTATGTGGTTGGGGATTATTGAGTTTGGGTTTAGTTTTGTCCCAAAGTGTTGGTCTTGTACTTCAGTATTTCAAGCATCCTTAATTTCCTTGGAATGCCTACTCTCTCTGCCTGTACAGATCGCCATTCCCCTGCTACTTGGCAACACTAAAAAAATTCCTTACATTTACATGCAAAGGGATATATATATATATATATATATATATATATATATATATATATATATATATATATATATATATATATATATGTATATATGTATGTATGTATGTATATGTATATGTCCTATCTATATGTATACATATGGAGGGGGGAGGGAGAGGGAGAGAGAAAGAGAAAGGGGGAGAGTGAAAAAGAGAGAGAAAAGGAGGCAGAGAGATGAACAGAGGGAGGAAGGAAAGGGGAAAGGAGGGAGGGGGAGAGAGAGAGAGAGAGAGAGAGAGAGAGAGAGAGAGAGAGAGAGAGAGAGAGATTGAGTGAGAGAGAGAGAAAACACATGCACTGTGCACTGTGAAAGTGGAGTCAGAGGATCTGGGCTTAGTTAGAGAGGCAATTTGGAACATTAGAAAGAGCACTGATTTTACAGTCCATTTCTGAACCTGTATTTGGAACCTTTCCAGGTTGAAAAGACCTTTCAAAGCTTGCCTGCCCTCGCATTGGAAACCCAAGGGTCACCTTCACACCATGATCACATGTGAGAATAGGGCTTTAATAGAGGTTGTATAGACTCACAGAATTGTAGAGCTTAGAGATCGTTCAAGTCCAACAGCCCCTCAGATGCAATGAACTACAAACATTTATTCCTACTGTGTGCTGTTGGCTAAATGCAAAGTTTAGACAAGACATGATCCTTCCCTTTTTGGAAGCATATCCTGGGATATGCTCCATGGACAATAAATATAATAGAAAATAGTACACGATTAAGTGCATAAGAGAGGAGCAAAAAATGTGCTGTTAGAGGTTAGACAGAGGGAAGGAAAGAGGATCAGGGAAGGCTTCTCAGAGGAAGTGGTGTTTGAATTTAGTATAGCTCCAACAAGAGGTAGCTTAAGACAGTGTATAGATTACTGGCCCCAGATCTGGGAAGACATGGCTTCAGGTCTTGTCTCTGATCCATCATGGCTGTGTGACCCAGGACAAGCCTATGATGTTCACAGCTAGTGTGACTTTGGATAAGTCACTTACTTTTCCCAGTCCTCAGCTTCCTTGTACATAAAAGGAAAGGGTTGGACTAGCTATCCCATGATGTTCCTTCCAGCTCTAAAGCAAATCAATGATCCTGTGACCTCTTCAAGTGAAGGAGGGAGTTGGTTTTCCTCATCTCTGTTCCCCATTCATGATGGTCCTTTCATACAGGCTGCCTCTTGTGCCTAGAATGTTTTCCCTTCTGTCTGATACCTCTTGGAGGTACCAGAGAGAAGGAAGAATCTCTGAAGGCAAACCCTCTGTCTTTGCCATTCTGCCTCAGGCTGCCTACATCGGTTTCTGTGGATTCCTGAGATAGGGCTGTTGTAATATATCATTTCAGCTGTTCTTCTTATTAATGAACGGCCTAGATTAATGTGCCCCAAGATTCCTCAAGAAATTCAATGATACATTGTGAAGTGGGGATGACAAAGGTTTTCAAAATATTCCTCCTCGTTTGTGATGTTGGTGGGGACTCAGGGTCAGTTTCAAGCTTCCTGTTAATTATTTTTTCCTTTGTCTTTCCTTCCAGACCCTGGTGAACCACTGATATAAAAGCCGGTTGGGGGGGTGGCAATATTTTTTTTTGCCCTCATGTGTGCCTGTTAATACTGGCACATTTTCCTCTGGGAAATCATAGTTAATTTCCACTGACTGATCATGATCTGGGAGGGCAGCTTTTACTTAGAATTTGGAAGGTCATAGAGCATACAATTTAATGGACTGCCTTGGACAGCCCTAATTTGGACAACTCACATTGTTGGAAAACTTTCCCTCCCCTCATGCTTCAATTTACCTCTTTTCAATTTCCAGTCATTGCTCCTGTGTCTGGTCAGTGGGGCCAAGAAGAAAAAGGATAATCCTTTCATATGACAGGCATCATGATACTAGAAGACAGCTCTCATGTCTCAAATCCTCTTCTTCTGAATCTTTTTTTCCCCAGGCTGATCATGTCCATTTCACAGAATCATAGAATCTTAGTGCTGGAAGGCACATTGAAGACCATCTAGTTGTCTCTGACCTCAACAAAAGGCTACTCTATGGCATTCCAAAGTGGTTATCCAGACTTTGTTTCAATACCTTTAGGGGGGGGAACTCATTACCACCTTGCTCCCACAAGCAGTTTCTTCTACTTTTGATTAGCTATAATTGTTAGAAAATTTTCCACTACACCTAAATCTGTCTCTTTTTACCTTCAGCCTGTTATTCCTAATTCTGCTCGTAAGTCTGATCCTTCTTAGGAGCAGCTTGGTGGCACAGTGGGTGGAGTCCTGAGCCTGTAATCAGGAAGACCTGAGTTAAAATTTGGCCTCAGACATTTGCTAGCTATGTGACCTTTGTTTGCTTCAGTCTCCTCAAATGTAAAATGGGTATAATAATACCCACCTAAGGGTTGTTGTGAGGAATAAATGGAATAATATTTGTAAAGCACTTTGTACAATGGTGATGGTGGTATGTCATATAATTCCTTTTAGCCTCAGGTTCCTCATCTGTAAAATGGGAATAATAATAGTAACCATCTTCCAGGATTATGTTGAGGATCAAATAAGATAATGTCTATAAAGTGCTAAAAAAAACACCTTTGAGTGCTATGGGAATGCTAGTGATGATGATGATGATGTCATATGATCACTTTGCCTCAGTTTTTTCACCTGATAAATGGGGATAATAATAGCACCTACGTCCTAGGGTTGTTGTGAGGCCCAAATGAGATACTGTATGTAAAGTGCTTGGCAAATGCTAAAACATTATTATCAGTGTGAACTATTATTTTAAGTGCAATTCTTCAATTCTAAAAAAATTACAAAGAAGAGGGTGGAAGCCTGAGATTGAGGTAATAATAGATTGCTTGAAGAATTCGAAAGAGGGCTCCTTAGCTTCTGTCTGGAGAAGTCAGTGAGGATGCACAGAGGGACATCTGGGAGGCTCACCATGATGGCTGCATCCAGAATGGGTTGTGCTGGCCTTTTGTGATAAGGAGTACTGATAAATCAAAGCAATGTTGTAGATATAGTTTACTTAGATTTTAGTAAAGCATTTAGCAAAGTCTTCCATGCTGTTGTTGTGGGGAAAATGGAGAGCTGTGGTCTGGACCATGGGACATTGACCATCTCATTTGTTGTCTTCTGGACACTCTTTTGGCAAAAATCATGGAGTCATAGACTTAGAACTGAAAGAAACCACCCCCTCATTTTACCTATGCAGAAACAGAACCAAAGAAATGGAGTGATTTGTCCAAGTTAAAACAGGTAGGAATTGGCAGAACTGGGAATTCAAACCCAGGTCCTTTGGTTTCAAATTCCCCCATTCTTTCCACACTGCCATCTGGAGCTAAAGCTGGTGGCCCTAACAGAAGAGTTACTTCCTCACTTGTGTGCTTTCAGATTATAGTTTAAATGTCTGAAAATAATTATGCCCAGGCTTGGTATTTATCTCCTAAATACTTTCCCTCCAAAGATTCTAATTTATCACAAACCTCCACAGTTCCTTGGTCTGTCCCCCTATTTCCACTTCCTCCCCATCCTGTTTATGGCTGAGAACAAAGTAATTTGTTTGTAACATATGGCCATCTTTTATGCATTTTTTTAAAAAAAATTGTCGCGGGCATAGGAATTGATGTACCTGAAGTTTGATTCATGTGAGGTTGAATACATCTGACATTTGGGTAGTAGAGGAGAATTGGGGAGGGGGGAAGGAAGAGGTGGTGGAAACCCAGAAGTGGTTATATAACTGTTCAATTATTTTTGTAGTTCTCATCTGGATTGAGCAACACAGAATGGTTTCCCTTGGGTCCATTTATCACTGTTTGCAACTAATTAGAACACACAAATTACTGTGTGTACAGTTCATATTATTAGTGTTGTTTTGGAGGCTAATAAATGAGGGTTGGCTCTCTGGCATGAACTTGAACATCTACCCGCCTCCTCCCATCCCTGCGCTGCTCTGCCTTGCCACCCATAATGCATCTTGAGATGCCTCTCACCCCCACAGGTCTCTGATAGCTGTGACTCCATCTTTGTGAATGGAAAGGAGATGAAGAGTAAAGTGGACACCATTGTGAACTTCACGTACCAACATTTCACTACCCAGCTTGAAGTGACTGTCTGGGTCCCAAGGCTGCCTTTGCAGATTGAGATCTCAGACACAGAGCTGAGCCAGATCAAGGGATGGAGAATCCCCGTTGCTCCCAACAAAAGGTAGGAGAGGAGGAATTGGGGTGACCAAGAAGAGCTGTTGGAAGGGAGGGTTGCTCTGAAACCTAAGGTGGTACCATGGACAGAGCATTAGTCCTGGAGTCTGGAAGTCTAGAGTGCAAAACTGGCCTTAGACACTTGCAAGCTGTGTAACCCAAGCAAGTCATTAAAATGGGGGTCATAATAGCACTTACTTCCAAGGATTGTTGTGAGAATAAAATGGAACTATCTATAAAGTATTTCACAAATCTTAAAGTGCTGAATGCATGCTAATTTATTATTGTTGTTGATGTTACTTTATTCTGAATAAAAAGCCCTTTGGATGCAGGTCTGTATGAAAAGAACATTTAGCCTAGGAGAGAAGAAACCTAATCCCACCCACCATATAGTTTTGCTACCTTGAGTAGCTCCCTCTCTCAGTTTCTTTATTTATGTAAAGTGGATGGATAATTATATCTGCCCTCCCTCCCACATGTGAGAAAAGATTATATGATCATAGATTTTTAGCATTGGAAAGTACTTAGAGGTACCTCTACAGAGGAGAAAACTGAGGCTCAGGTAGGTTAGGGGACTTGCCCAACCTTGACAATCAATGTTGGTTTGTGCTTTGAACAAAGCAGCACTATGCAATGCAATGGCTTGTCAGTAATGCTATTGAGTGGACAGATGCCTTAGCTTGTGCAGTCAATTCCACAAATATTTATTAAATACTTACATTGGGGAAGATCTTATGCAGAATTTTTGAAAAAAATAGGAGGGCTTCTACCCTCAAGGTACTTCCATTTGCCTGCATAGGAAAGCACATTTATGCAGATAAGTATAATATGTTATAGCACGTGAAGGGGGGAGAGGACAAAGGAGAGATCATTATTAAATGCTCTGGAAAAATTTGAGGAGGGAGCAAACAGCTTCAATTTGGGGTCAGGAAAGATTTCATGAAGAAGTGGCACCTGAGCTGGGCCTTGAAGGAATAGGAGAATTCTCAATGGCGAAGAAGAAGGAGCCGACTTCAGGCAAGAATAATGAATGACCTTCATGAATGTTTAGAAATGGGTGAGTTCAGGGAGCAACTAATGGTCTAGGAATGTAGAGGTCACAAAGGTGAATAATAGGAAACAAGACTTGGAAATGGAGGCTAGAGAACAGATTATACAAGTCCTTAAATCGCAGGTGTGTATTTTATCCTATCAAAAATGGGAGCCATTGAAGTTTGTTGAGCAGAAGAGTAACATGAACAGACCTGATGCTGAAATGAGATTAGAGAGATCCTTCTTATACTCTCATGTATCTGAGATCTCATTGCTATGAGTACTCTCTATAATCATTCATATCCCAGCCCACCTACTGTTTTAAACATTTACTTAGTGCTGTGTGAATTTCTCCTGTTTAGCCTAAGTATTGCCCTTTATTCTTATAGCAATAAGTAGGGTTATGCTGGTGAGTGTTTAACAGCCAGCTGTCCAGAAAAACAAAGTGCCCATGACATACTTATAAGTTTAATCTTCATTATTAAACATTTTCTCCATCTCTTTCTTAAATCTAAGCAGTTGATAAAACAATAAATTGATCCCTGATTTGTAGTGTTTGCTGATTTCTGAGGTGTAAATTAGTTTTTTCTTTTTTAAATTATTTTTAGTTTTCAACAATCACTTCCATAGGCTTTTGAGTTTTAAATTTTCTCCCCCTCCCTCCCCAAGATAGTGTGCAATCTGATATAGGCTCTACATATAGATCCCTATTAAACAACTTTTCATATTAGTCATATTGTAAAGAAGAATTAAAACCAATAGGAGGAACCATAAGAAAGAAGAAACAAAGCAAAACAAAAAAAAAGGGGGGGGGATAGTATGCTTCTATCTGCATTCAAACTCCATAGTTCTTTCTCTGGTTGTGGATAGCATTTTCCATCATGAGACTTTGGAGATGTTTTTGATCCTTGCATTGCTGAGAAGAGCTAAGTCTATCAAAGTTAGTCTTTGCATAATGTGGCTGTTACAGTGTACAACGTTCTCCTGGTTCTGCTCACTTCACTCAGCATCAGTCCATATAAGTCTTTCCAGGTTTTTCTGAAGTCCATCTGCTAATCATTTCTTATAGTGCAATAGTATTCCATTACATTCGTATACTACAACTTGTTCAGCCATTCCCCAATGGATGGGCATCCTCTCAATTTCCAATTCGTTGCCACCAGAAAGAGATGCTATAAATATTTTTGTACATGTGGGTCCTTTTCACACTTTTATGATTTCTTTGTGATACAGCCCTAGAAGTTCTGTTGCTGGGTCAAAGGGTATGCATGTTTTATAGCCCTTTGGACATAGGTTTCAAATTGCTGTCCAAAATGGTTGGATCAGTTCACAACTCCAAGGTGTAAATTCTCATGCTGAAAATTTAACATTTGGCTCTTGTGAACTTGCACACCCATGGTTTGAGAAGAACTAGGCTATGGACACAATAATGGAGCCACAGCCAAGTGTTTCATCTGAGCTGAGTAAGGGCCCGAATGAATTAATAGGTTGATCAACTAGCATTTGTTAAGTAGCCACTGTGTGCCTAGTACAGTGTGAGGCACTGAGGATATAAGTACAATCAGTAAAACAATTCCTCTCTCAAGGATCTTACATTTGAACAATTTTTAGTCATTTTACTTTGGCTTCCAAAGAAAAAAAAGAAAATGAGACGGCACAGGCAAATTAATTTGGTATAGAATTGGAAGGGGAAGATGAGTGGTGCAATGGATAGTGATAGGCCTGGAGTCAGGAAGACCTGAGTTCAAATCCAACCTCAGACACTTACCAGCTGGGTGACCCTGGGCAAGACCCTGTTTGCTTCAGTTTCCTCATCTGTAAAATGAGCTAGAGGAGGAAATGGCAAAACACTCCCATATCTCTGCCAAGAAAACCCCAAATGGGGTCACGGAGAGTCAGACATGACTGAAAAATGACTGAACAACAGCAGCAGCAGCAACACAGAGCCGGAAGATAAATCAGTCATTTAGTCAGTCAACAAACATTCATTAAGTGATGACTGATAGAAGTACAGAATGGAATTAGCTGGTACAGTGACCAAGAGGTTATTGGAACATTCTGGAAACAAGTAATGTATTCATGAACAAGATATGGTTTCAGTAAGCTGAGCAGGAACAAAGTGTACCTGGGGAAAGGTAATTCTCATGGCCCTTCAAGCTAGCAATGTCTACCCTACTCATAGCCCTTTTTAATTAATGTCAAGAGCTCTCTTGACACACAACAAATACTGGGGGGACTCCCTCCAGCTCTCTTAACATTGTAGTGGAGAACTTGGGCTGACCCTTGGACAGTAGCCTCTGCTCTCATTACATGACTGACCCATCTCTTCTTTTTTTTTTTTTTAATTTTCTGGCCCTGTATATTACTTTCTTTTTGTTGTTGCTGTTGTTGTTGTTGTTTTTAAAAATTTTTTTGGCCCTGTGTATTTCTGATGGCATCCTTTATTCTCCCACATGCTTCAGCAGTGGTACTACAATGTAATCTGTCCCTGCCCATGCTAGGCCCTGGGAAAATCCATAGCAGTCATTTTTTATTTAATCTACTTTATCTACTTTAATCTACTAATTAAAGCCAAGAGAAAACCTGGGCGGCTGAACAGAAACACAAGGCCTCCCCCCTTCTGCAGTGGTAGAGAGAGAATGTCAGCCTGTGTGACCTGCAAGTGATTTCAGAACTTGAGAGGTGGAGTGTTGAAGAATGAAGGAAGAACAATGATAAGATAAGACATAAATTAGGGGATGATATGCACTCCCTGCTAAACAAACCTTGAATTATTCAGCATTCTGAGATCTCAGGGAGGTATATTAATAACACACCTAAGGAAATCTTCTCATCTGGGGCAGAGAGGAGACATTTCCTCCTGGAAGGGGGAAGTTTTGAAGATTACATTAGATTAACACAACCCAGGAATCTTGACATTAACACTAGAAAAGGGAAGACCCATAATGGGGCCTGATTACAGAAAGCATGGGAAAAATACTCCTTCCCATTGGAGCACATGCTGCTTCCAGGCCCTACCCTGGTCTGAAAAGAAGCCATATCTGCTCAGGCAGAGCGAATCTGTAAACCTGATGGGATTTAGAGTCATGAGTTTTCCAACAAAGGATAAGGTTGTCGTGAGAGTTAATATATTCTATTGAATGTATATAACTGTATTCATTGCAATTCAATCCAGCAATCATGTTTTAAAGTACCTACTATGTGCCAGGTATGTGCTGTGTGGTGTCATGGATTTTGGAGCCAGAGGACATGGGTTCAAATCCTGCCTCTGACATTTATTGTCTGCCTATTCTTGGGCAGACACAACCTCAGTTTTCTCATCTGAAAAAAGAGAGAGATTGGTGTGAATGGCCTCTGAGATTTCATCTAGTTCTAAATCTAAGATGGATGATCCATATGGTGAGGTCATTGGACCAGATGCCCATTGAAGTCTCTTTCAGCTTAAGATCTATTGTCCTGTACATGGTGATAGTTGCTAGTTGCCAGTGAAATAAAGACAAAAACCCAACAGACCATGTCCTCAGGGAGCTTCCATTCTGCTGGAGTCAAAACAGTTACCCAAGTAAGTATATATATAAAAGGAAAATACTCTCCATGAGAGAGGAGCATTTATAACATGATGGGAGGGCAGTGATCAGTAGCAGTTATGTAGAAGAGCTGAACCTGCATGTATACCTTGTAAGTACATAGCTGTTTGCATGTTGACTATCCCATTAGATTGTATACTCTGTTAGGGCAAGGATTGTTTTTGTCTTTTTTTTTTTAATCCTTACCCCTTAGCTCAGTGCTTGACACATAGTAGGAACTTAATAAATATTTATTGGAGAAGGTGGGATTTTGGCTGGGACTTGAAGGAAGCCAGGAAGGGTAGATGAGGAAGAAGAATATTCCAAGGATAGGAAAGAGCCAGAGAAAATGCCCAGAGTTGGGACATGGAGTGTCCCATGTAGGAACAACCAAGAGGCCAATGTTGCT